ATATGTAGTGATGATCGATGATGTTATATGTAGTGATGATGGATGTTGTTATATGTAGTGATGATGGGTGGTGTTATATGTAGTGATGATGGATGGTGTTATATGTAGTGATGATCTATATCTATATAAAACAAAGAAGTCTGTCTGTGTGTCCGCACGAGAATCTCGGAAACTACTTTACCGATCTGTAGTGATGATGGATGGTGTTATATGTAGTGATGATGGATGGTGTTATATGTAGTGATGATGGATGATGTTATATGTAGTGATGATGGATGTTGTTATATGTGGTGATGATGGGTGGTGTTATATGTAGTGATGATGGGTGTTATATGTAGTGATGGATGGTGTTATAATGTGGTGGTGGTGGTAACGATTGGTGAGCAGTGGTGGTGGTGGCAGTGGTAGTGACAGTGGTAGTGGTGGTGGTGGTGATGCTTGTATGTTTGTGGTGATGGTGGTGGTCGTGAGAGACTGGTTGATAGTAGTGGTAATGATGGTGGTGGTAATGATGATGGCGGTTGTAGTGGTGTTAGTGATGATGGTGGTAGTATTGATGGTAATGATGGTGGTGCTATATGTAGTGATGATGGATGGTGTTATATGTAGTGATGATGGATGGTGTTATATGTAGTGATGATGGATGATGTTATATGTAGTGATGATGGATGGTGTTATATGTAGTGATGATCTATATATAAAACAAAGAAGTCTGTCTGTGTGTCCGCACGAGAATCTCGGAAACTACTTTACCGATCTGTAGTGATGATGGATGGTGTTATATGTAGTGATGATGGATGGTGTTATATGTAGTGATGATGGATGATGTTATATGTAGTGATGATGGATGTTGTTATATGTAGTGATGATGGGTGGTGTTATATGTAGTGATGATGGATGGTGTTATATGTAGTGATGATGGATGGTGTTATATGTAGTGGTGGTGGTAACGGTGGTAGTGACAGTGGTAGTGACAGTGGTAGTGGTGTTGATGGTGATACCAGCATGTTTGTGGTGATAGTGGTGGTGGTAGAGACTGGTTGATAGTAGTGGTAATGATCGTGGTGGTAATGATGATGGCGGTTGCAGTGGTGTTAGTGATGATGGTGGTAGTATTGATGGTAATGATGGTGGTGCTATATGTAGTGATGATGGATGGTGTTATATGTAGTGATGATGGATGGTGTTATATGTAGTGATGATGGATGTTGTTATATGTAGTGATGATGGGTTGTGTTATATGTAGTGATGATGGATGGTGTTATATGTAGTGATGATGGATGGTGTTATATGTAGTGGTGGTGGTAACGGTGGTAAAGGTGGTGATGGTTATAGCGGCATGTTTGTGGTGATAGTGGTGGTGGTAGAGACTGGTTGATAGTAGTGGTAATGATGCTGGTGGTTGTAGTGGTGGTAGTAGTGATGGTAATGATGGTGGTGCTATATGTAGTGATGATGGATGGTGTTATATGTAGTGATGATGGATGGTGTTATATGTAGTGATGATGGATGTTGTTATATGTAGTGATGATGGGTGGTGTTATATGTAGTGATGATGGATGATGTTATATGTAGTGATGATGATGGATGGTGTTATATGTAGTGATGATCGATGATGTTATATGTAGTGATGATGGATGTTGTTATATGTAGTGATGATGGGTGGTGTTATATGTAGTGATGATGGATGATGTTATTTGTAGTGATGATCTACATCTATATAAAACAAAGAAGTCTGTCTGTTAGTCTGTTTGTCCGCACGAAAATCTCGGTAACTACTTTACCGATCTGTAGTGATGATGGATAGTGTTATATGTAGTTATGATGGATGGTGTTATATGTAGTGATTATGGATGGTGTTATGTATAGTGATGATGGATGCTTTTATATATAGTGATGATGGATGGTGTATTATATAGTGATGATTTATTGTGTTTTATATATAGTGATGATGGATGGTGTTATATGTGGTGGTGGTGGTAACGGTGGTGGTGAGCCAGTGGTGGTGTGAGTAACAGTGGTGAAGTGAGCAGTGGTGGTGGTGATGGTGATGGCATGTTTGTGGTGATGGTGGTGGTCGTGAGAGACTGGTTGATGGTGTGAGTGGTGATGGTGAAATTGTGTAGTGATGGTGGGTGGTGTTATATGTAGTGATGGTGGGTGGTGTTATATGTGGTGATGATGGATGGTGTTATATGTAGTGATGATGGATGGTGTTATATCTAATGATGATGATGGTGTTATATGTGGTGATGATGGATGGTGTTATATGTGGTGATGATGGATGTTGTTATATGTAGTGATGATAGATGTTATATGTAGTGATGGTGGGTGGTGTTATATGTAGTGATGGTGGGTGGTGTTATATGTGGTGATGATGGATGGTGTTATATGTAGTGATGATGGATGGTGTTATATGTAATGATGATGGATGGTGTTATATGGCAGTGGTGGTGAAGTGGCGGTGGTAATGGTGGTGATGGTGTTAGCGGCATGTTTGTGGTGATAGTGGTGGTGGTAGAGACTGGTTGATAGTAGTGGTAATGATGCTGGTGGTTGTAGTGGTGGTAGTAGTGATGGTAATGATGGTGGTGCTATATGTAGTGATGATGGATGGTGTTATATGTAGTGATGATGGATGGTGTTATATGTAGTGATGATGGATGTTGTTATATGTAGTGATGATGGGTGGTGTTATATGTAGTGATGATGTTATATGTAGTGATGGTGGGTGGTG